GGTGATAAGAATACTAAATTCTTTCACTCAAAAGCTTCTCAAAGGAAGAAGAAAAATGAAATCAAAGGTCTTGAGAAGAGTGATGGGAGATGGGTGACGAGTGACCATGAGGTTGTTGAGGAGATAAAAAAGTATTTTGCTGAGATATTCACGTCATCCATGCCGAGTTTTTTGGATATAGAGTCCGTAACACAAGCAGTGACCTCTTGTTTATCTCCTGGAATGTGTTCTATGTTGGAGGAGCCTTTCACGAGGAAGGAGATCCATCAAGCTCTCTTTGCTATGGGACCTACCAAAGCCCCGGGGCCGGATGGATTCCATGCGACATTTTATCAAAAGAATTGGGATATTTTAGGAGATGACTTGACTAATATGTGCTTGCGGGTTCTCAATGATAATGCCTCTTTCCAAAACATGAATGCGACTAATGTTGTTCTTATCCCGAAGATTAAGGAAGCGAGGAGGGTGTCAGATTATCGACCGATAAGCCTTTGTAATGTCTCTTACAAGGTTATATCCAAGGCGTTGGCTAATCGATTGAAACGTGTTCTCCCTTTGATTATCTCTCAAGAACAAAGTGCTTTCGTCCCGGGTCGGCTAATTACTGACAATGTGCTTGTGGCTTTTGAGGTCCTCCATTCCATCCGACGTAAGGTTAGCGGCAATGTGGGCTTCATGGGTTTGAAACTAGATATGAGCAAGGCCTATGATAGAATTGAGTGGCCGTTCCTTGAAGGGATGATGGAGAAAGTTGGATTTGGGCAACGATTTCGAGGGTTAATCATGAAATGTGTTTCCTCAGCTAGTCTTTCCTTTATGATGGGCAATGAACCTCGTTGTTCGATTCGGCCAAGTCGGGGGCTTCGCCAAGGTTGCCCTATTTCACCTTACTTATTTCTTCTTTGTGCGGAGGGACTTACTGCATTACTCAAGCAAGCGGAGGTTTCTGGAAGGTTAGCAGGGATTGCAGTTGCTCGCGGAGCACCGAAGGTAAGCCATCTCCTCTTCGCCGATGACTCTATTATTTTTGGAAAAGCTAGGAAAGATGATGCAAGGACAATTATGGAGATCCTTGAGATGTATGCGAAGGCGTCGGGGCAAGTACTTATTTCTGTTATTGATGGGCAATGAGACATATTAGCTGATTTTTTTTTTTGAATTCTTGTGAAAATGGTTTTTTTTCTCTTTTTTCTTTTTTTCATTTGGTCAGTCCTCCCAAATTACTGTTTGAAAATTCGAAAACCCAATTAAATGCACGATCTTTACTGTCTCAGCTAAAGTGAGGTAAAATTTTTATTGACCCCCATTATCCTTTCAGATTTTCCGGTGTTGGAGTATCAATAATTGAACGTGAGGGTTTTTTAAGGCGAATTTAATTTATTGATTTAAGTTTTTAATTCGAATTTAGAAGTGATTTTACGTAAAATTTTTTAATTATTATAAAAATATTAAATATAATTATTTTTAAAATTTTTTATTATAATAAAATTTAAATTTTAAATTCAAAACAGTGAAAAGAAAAACCCGAGACTTTTAAATGTGTGTTGTCTGTTATTTCATCATATTTGGCTTTTCTAAAGTTGGTCCTGTAAAGGATCGGCCACTGGGGTTGGATCCAGCAACTGAGGAAGTACTACACTTCTCAGTCTAACTTACTTGAAGAATTCACTAATATCTCCAACATTGATAAAGCATGGACTTTTAACTCTGGGAGTGGTATTGAATCCTAAATCTCAATTTATCTTTTCCTTCTTAAACTCAATTTCCCTTTGAATTTTGACAATAGTATTATTTTTTGGGCACAAATTTTTGGTGCAGTAACGGACTCCCAGGGAATGTTTTTAATTAGTCAACCAAATCTTTTGGCAAACAAGAGGAGAAAGTTTATTCTTTCCACTCAAATCACAAAAGAAAGTGAAAGTGCCACCTCTGTGAACTTTCAATGGGCTACCTTTCCTGTGGAGTTGACAGGGGTATCCATAGTTGTTCCGTCGCCGTCAGGAACCAAGGTTCTTGTAGTTCGCAACCCCGAAAACGAATCTCCTTGCAAGTTAGAGATTTGGAGTCAGTCTCAACTGGAAAAGGAATACCAAGTTCCCCCATCTGTTCATGGCTCAGTGTATACGGATGGAGGGTAATTGAGAACATACAATTTTGATACTTGTTTATGATCGTTTTAGTTTGAATTTATTTTTAAATTATAGTTTGGATGATATGTTTCAAAAAACCTTTTTGGGACATAAATGAGATTTTCAGGGTAAAGTGAAAAAACAAAGAACAGAATAGTTTCCCATGTATTTGTGGAAGCTCTTTCAAGAGCTGCAACGTGTGTCTGGAGTCTCGTGGAAGAGCTTCGAACAGCAAGTAAGATCTTTCAACATTTCAATCAAACACCTCTAGAAGCTGATTTTGGTCTTAGGAACCAAAAGTTGTATAGCAAGAACCTGAGGAGATAGTAACTAGAGGAAAAACACTGCTTAGAAGAATGAAAATATTATTCTGTCATTCATGTTTTAAACTATACACACGGGCCTCCTTATATAGATAAGTTAGGAAACATCAAATAAAAGGAAACTTAACAAATAAGGAAACAGATCGAAAAAGAAGGAAACTACCTTATCACCTATTCCAAAACTTTACGAAAATCAATCAGAGTCAACTAATAATCTTCCTCCATAATTCTTCCATATTCAGCTACACTCTCCCTAAAGATGGGTAGTACGCGTTGTACATACCTAGCTTGTCTACCAATTTTTCAAACAAGGGTTTAGCCAATTCCTTGGTTAGAATATCAGCTAGTAGTAGGAACATATGTTATGCAAATAATTCCTTCTTCTATCTTTTCTTTGATGAAATGTTGATCGACTTCCACTTGTTTAGTCCTATCATGGTGAACAGGATTATGTGAGATGTTTATGGTTGCCTTGTTGTCACAGTAGACATGTAGAGGTAGCATAACTCTAACCTTCAATTCATCTAACAACATTTTCAGCCACAAATCCTCACAAATTCCGTGAGCTACTGATCTCAATTCTGTCTCGGCACTATTTCTAACAACTACTTGTTTCTTGTTCCTCCAAGTTATAAGATTATCCCCCACAAGAGTATAATACCCCGAAGTAGATCTTCTGTCCTCAACAGCGCTTGCCCAGTCTGCATCTGTATAGACCTCTATGCTTCTATCTTCTCCCTTTTTGAAAACAAATCTCGTTCAGGTGTTCCTTTTAAATACTTCAGAATCTTATAGACGGCTTCTAAATATTTTTCGGTAGGAGAGTGCATGTATTGACTAACTCTGCTCACCGCACACGGTAGCCTTGCAGAACTCTCTGCACAATACCATCCCACACAACAATTTCGCTATATATATGGAAGTGCATGCATAGAAAACGCTTTAGAATTTGTGTTTGGTTCATTTTCTTTTCTCAATGACTAAGCTCTTTTCTGTATTCTTGCAGATTCCTGTTGTAATGTCCGCTGAGGATGGTCACTTCCCTGGGCTTTACTGTTCAGGTTTTTTTGACTAATCTATGGCTTTCTAATGGCCGCACTTTGATTTTATCTTCCATCTGGCGCAGCAGTCAAGTGATACTTTCTGCAAATAGTTTGAGGTAATTGGTAACTGTAGAACTGTATAGCAAGCCCTTTTCCTCTCTCTCTCTCTGTTTTCTTTTTTTCCCTTGTTTGTGGCTGGATAATTTGTTCCTTATGCAAAACCTTGTCTTGATTGTACAATACTTATGTATTTCATTCACATTACAGTGCGGAAGTATCACGAATCAGTCCTTCAGACTCAGATTTTTCATGGGATCTTCTTACATTGGATGTAGACAATGTTATTGCAGGTAACATCAAATGCTAAATTTATGTTGTTTTTTTTTTTTCTTCTTTTATTTATTAATTTACTTTTGTATTAGATGTCAAGAAATGAGTTAATATCTTTTCTTGTTTCGTTTTTGAAGTCTCTAGCAGTCCAGTGGATGTTCCTCAAATCAACTATGGGTTGCTTATTGATAAAACAAATAAACATGCAACATGGAGTCGGTTAAATGTATCAAGCCCCATTTTTAAATGCTCTGAGAAGGTCCATCTATCTATTTGCTTTCCTTTCTATAATGTTTACAATTTGGTTTTTACTTATTTCCTTTTATATGCTAACAATCAAACTATTGAACGATCTACTTATTTCCTTCACGTTAAATCTTTGCTGGGAAATCGTCAGTTTGATGTAACAAAGATTCCAGTGAAGGATCTTTCTGATAGCTTGACAGAAGGTATTCACATCAAATATAAGTTTTCTGATTGAACTCCATTCGGGCCAACACAATAACACTTATGAGCGCTATAAATTTTCACTGTTACATGTCTTGTTACGTTTTTCCTTTCCCTTTGTTGAGTGCTCTTATAACAAAAATAATGGAAAGATTTCTGAATTTTGGAATATATGATTAGTGGTTACCTATTGTAGTTTTTCTTGTGTTGAAAAGGAATTTGCTGATTTCGTCGAGTTTCTAAACATTGCAGGTGCTAAGAAGCCTTTCGAAGCTATATTTGTGTCCTCCCACACTAAGACAAATGGTGGATGTGGTCCATTGACTGTAGTCTTTGTGAGCCCGTTTAGTTCACTGATTCAATTTTTAATTTGAGTTGATATGTGATTTTGTATGAGAGTTTTTTACTATAGTAAAAAAATTAGATGTGATTGTTTCTGAGAGTTTTTTACTGTGACAAATTTAAATTTTAAACTCGAATCGGTTAAATGAACGGATCTCTTTAGCATTTCTCTCTTTAATTGGATACAACTTGTTGCTTGTTAATTACAGGTAAAGAATTTTGTGTATTTATTTATTTATTATTATTTTTTGGGTGGCAAGATTATATATCTCGTTATCATTTGTTGTTTTCTTTCACTAAGTATCTATTACCAATCCTTCTGCTCCTGTTACTATTATTTAGTCATTAATGGTGTCATGGTGACATACAACATTTGTGTCTTTTAGGCTCTTTTTTTTACAACTCGAATAACAATTTAAATATTTTATTACAATATTTTCTCTCATAAAAATTTAAATTTAATTTTTTTTATTATAATATTTTCTCTCATATAAATTCACTTTTGAACTCATATTCTCTAACTCAAGTTGTGGAAAGAATCTTTTTGAAAAATACAAAAAGCCAAAAAAAAAATGAAGAAACAATTAGGACTTGAAGACATTAATGAAGTAGGGATAAAAAATTTCGTATTCAATTTGACTACTGTTATTTTCCTTTGACTTGTAATTGTCGTTAAAATCATTATGCTGTTTGCATTGTATACTTTATTTCGTTTTTCCTATGGTTTCGTAAATTTATTGTTGTTTCTAGTTTTTTTTTTTTTTTTTTTTTTTTTTTTTTTTTTTTTTTTTTTGACTTTCATTTGTTTTTTTTTTTTTTTTTTTTTTTTCTGTTTTCTTGTCGTTGTCGACTTCCATGTTGTTTCTAATATTGTTGTCGTTTCACTATTTCATATTTTGTTCCTATCCTTTTGTCAGATATTTATTATCGTTTATAGTTTTTTCGTGCCCCACTTTATTTTTTATTTTATTTTTGCCGTTTGTCGTTTTATTGTTGTTTTCTGTTGTTATTCCGTTGTTGGACTTTTTAATGTCGTTTTTCTCTTTACCGTCGTTTATCTGAGCTTTATGGTTTCATTTGTCTCATGTCCCTCCTTGTTTTTGTTGTCGTTTGGAATTACTGATGTTTTCTAGTTTTGAAGTCTTTGGTAATTATTTTGTGGTTGGTGTTTATTGTCGTTTTCAAATTTACCGCCGTTCGCTGGTCTGTTGTCGTTTAATTTTCTATCATCGGTTTTTCGCATTAAATTGCTTATAATATTATCTTTTTAAGATCTAATTCTTTGACCGTTATATTGATGGAAGGGATCCCTTCAATTTTCCCTTCTCTGGAGTTCGGATTACATCATCAATAGCAGGAATTTATTCAATGATAATCCTTTTTTTTTCGCCAACATAAAAATTAAATTTAACTCAGAGGCTCCTTGGGATTTGGTGGGGAAGCACTGCAATCTCTACCAGGGAAGATTGGAACCCAGGTAATTGTTTTCACTTTAGTTTTTACTAATGCATCGACTGTTTCTTTGTTTTTCTTTGCATTTTGACTATGTGCCCAGATCATTCTTTGAGCTCCTAATCTATGAGATTGTTTTGAACAGGATGTCAATGATGTACTCACCGCTATAGATCATGTCATTGACGCGGGAAAAGCCGATCCGACGAAAATTGCTGTGGTCGGGATTTCCAGTGGTGGCTTTCTCACAACTCATTTGATTGGCCAGGTATGGTAGTTATGCATTGTTAGGCAGCGCTAATTCTTCATTAGCTATAATTATGTTTAACAGTGAGAATTAGTCATGAGGATTAGTTACATATTTCTCTTCCTGCTGTAGAGGGTTTTTCTCTCCTATATTTTCGGAGTTTGTTATTCTTTATCGTGATGTGTAATTCTTTTGGATTTTGTAATATTTTCTTTACTTTCTGTTATGCCACCTGGAGCTTGGCTATAGGTTCGGTGATTTCTTGGTGTTATATATAAACATTGTACATGAACTATTACAGATTGAGGTAATATACAATTATTCATATAAGTTCTCCTCCAATTATTTCTGTGACTTGGTATCCACTGGCTAAGGTCGGCGGAGCCTCCACTGAAGAATCCTCTCAAGCACCTCTTTCCAATATTTCTGCATCAAACCCAGCCCATCCTTCTTCTACACCAACTATACAAATAGTCAACCTAGCAAACCAAATCGGCTCAGTTCAGCGAAGTGATGACAATTTTCTGCTATGGAATCAGCAGATCCTTGTTGGGATCAGAGGACTTGGACTCGAAGAATACCTTACAGGAACATCGGCGTGTCCAGCGGAGCTCACACCAACAATCAACGGACGTCCAGGATCCGTAAATCCAGAATATATAGCCTGGACCAGACAGGACCAGCTTCTTGTTGCATTTCTGTTAGCCTCCATGAAGGAGAGTATTCAGGCTCAAATGGTGGGCTGTCACACCCCGAGTGGAATCTGGGCTCGAGTAAATCAAGTCTTTGCTACACGCTGCCGTGCTCGTGTTATGCAGTATAAGTTGCAACTTCAAACTTTGAAGAAGGGAGGTATGACTATGTGTGACTATCTCAGTAAAATGAAAAATTATTGTGATATTTTAGCTGCTTGTGGCTATGTTCTGTCTGAAGAAGATCAAATTCTTCACATTCTGGCTGGTGTTGGTCTTGAATATGATTATGTGGTGGTCACGATTACCTCTCGCTCTGAGCCTTACTCTTTGGCTGATGTTGGTGCCTTGTTGTTGGCTCATGAGAGTCGTATTGAACAGTACTTTGTTAATTCGGATGGCACCACACCTGCTGCAAATCTGACTTATCAGCAGCGAAAAGGATATGAAAATTTCTCACAGAGATCTTCACAAACAACTGGTCAGCAATATACTCAAAGTGGTCAGTTTGGAAACAACTGGGGACGAGGTCGTGGCAGACGTAACAGTGGCCGTTCTTGGGGTAGAAACTCACGTCCTCAATGTTAGCTATGCTGGAAATATGGTCACACTATTCAGTAGTGCTATCATCGTTTTGATGCGAATTTCACTGGCTTTAACAACAATAATGCAAGTTACAACAATGTTGGTTCAAACTCACCAACGGTTGCAGTGGCCTCCACTACTCCAGATTTGCTCACAGAAGAAGGATGGTTTCCAGACTCAGGTGCAACCAACCACGTCACTAATGACTTGAACAATCTATCTATTGGTGCTGAATATCTTGGCTCCAACAAGCTGCTCATGGGTAACGGTAAAGGTCTGGCTATTAACCATGTTGGTTCAGCTGTAGTTAGCAACCCTGATTCTCATCATACTTTCAATCTTCGTAATTTGCTTCATGTGCCTCAAATCACTAAAAATCTTTTAAGTGTTAGTAAATTTGCTCTAGATAATAATGTTTATTTTGACTTTCACCCATTCTCTTATGTTGTGAAGGACCGAGCCACGGGAGCAGCTCTTCTACAGGGAATACTAATGTGATGCACTCCATAAATTAGAGGAAATCATTTGTAATGGTGCTTTAAACACAGTTTCTGACTGAGAAAAAGGCAAACGATGATTCTTTTCAAATTGACAAGGTGTGCAAAATTGAAATTATCATTGATTGAAACCGGAATTTTACATCGTGACAAAACTGTTTTGACAATAGGCAAAGCTAGATGTCCTAGACGCTTATGCCATACATCTAAAACAGAAACACATGACAAGCCATTTGACAAACATTGACTATCACCAATGTTGGTGTCTCGGTTTACAATCTTAGGGAATTTAGAGTTATAACTATTGATAGACAAAGGAGACTCGAAAGACTTGGACACTGGACTGGGAACAGATTTAGTGAGTTGGAACTTGTACAGTCTTTCATGGCAGTACTCCTTTGGAAAAGCTGTTCAAGGGAAAACCCGACTACTCTATGCTTAGAATTTTTGGTTGTGCTTGTTATCCATGCTTAAGACCCTATAATACTCATAAGTTGCAATTCAGATCAGTTGCTTGCACTTTTTTGGGTTATAGCAATCAACACAAAGGTTTTAAATGTCTTAGTCCAGAGGGTCGGTTGTATATATCTAGACATGTCCAATTTGACGAGTCTACGTTTTCTTTCTCAATAAATGTTCTCAAATCTAGTCCTGAAAGTTCAAAGTCCCTTTCCACTTGTTCTTTGTCAATACTGTCACAACCATTGAATGAATCCACAGGCCAATTTCTCATAAATGAATCCTCTCATGAGGCGGATTTACAAACTCTCTCACCAGTGCACTCCCCAATTGTGTCAAGTCCATCAACATCCATTAATTCATCACATGATAGTCCTACCTCCTCATGTTCAATGGCACCTTCCTCTAGTGCTACCAAAGCTTCTAGGAGCCTTGCACAGAACCAACATGTTGACAGTAGCCCAGGACCTGCACTAGTTAAGAACAATCATCATATGATTACTCGAGCCAAAGTGGGTGTTTTCAAACCTAAGGTCTATCATGTTACTGATTGATCCTCTACAGAACCTCTTAATGTTCATGAAGCTATGTCTTGTGATCACTAGAGAGCTGCCATGGACACAGAATTAAAGGCCTTACAGGAAAATCACACTTGGTCTGGTGCAGCGGAGTAGTTGTTTGAAACGAACAATTAAGAACACAAGTTGTAGGGGAATTGAATGAAAATTTTGAAATATTATTCAATTGTAATGTTTTTTTCTGAACACAAGTCAGAGACTTAAATAGAATGCATAATACTAAGAATAGGAAACTAACTTAGAACACAATCAGGAAACTTAGAAAATGATTATAGAAAATAACAAAATAGGAAACTAATAATAAGAATGGGAAAGTTGCTAAACGTGTGCTGCATCAATCTCCTCCCCCTAAAGAAAACTCGTCCTCGAGTTTGATTGGGTCAAAGAAAACTCATCCGGTGGATAATATTCGAAGATATCAGCAACGTTGAAAGAATTGGAAATGTTCATGTCAGCGGGAAGCTCAATCTTGTAAGCATTATCGCCAATCTTCTCGAGAACTCAAAAACGACCAATCTTCTTATGCTTAAGCTTATTGTAAGTGCCTACCGGAAACCGATTCTTACGTAAATTCACCATGACCAAGTCACCCGTTTGAAAGATCTTTTCGCGCCTATGCTTATCTGCTGCTGATTTGTACCGAGAGTTAGCCGCCTCGAGATTTTTCTGTACTTCATTATGAATCTGTTGAATGCACTCAACAAACTCCTTAACTTCATAATTGACATTGGCGGAAGGAGGAAGACGAATCAAATCTATAGTATGCTTCGGAGAACTAGTGTAGACAATTTCAAAAGGTGTCTTCTTGGTAGAACGGTTTGGCACACTGTTGAAAGCGAACTCAATCTGTGGAAGGGCAGCATCCCATTGCTTCGGTTTGTCTCCACACACAACCCGAATCATGTTGCCAAGGGTACGATTACCCACTTCAGTTTGCCTGTCTGTTTGTGGATGGCTTGTACTGCTATACTTTAAAGAAGTATCGAACAACTTCCACAACGTCCTCCAAAAATGACTTAGGAATTTTACATCCCTATCATAAGTAATGGAACGGGGAACACCATGCAAGCGAACAATCTCCCGAAAAAATAAGTGAGCCACATAACAAGCATCAGAGGCTTTCTTACAAGGAAGAAAGTGAACCATCTTAGAAAATTGATCGACCACAACAAAAACTGAATCAGCTCCACGATGAGTTCTTGGAAGACCAAGTACAAAGTCCATAGTTAAATCCTGCCAAATCATCTCTGAAATAGGTAAGGGAGTATAGAGGCCAGTATTTTGAGCTTGACCCTTGGCCTTCTGACATATTGGACAACGCTGAACAAAACGTCCAATGTCCCTCTTCAACTGAGGCCAATAAAATCTTTCCTCCACCAAGCTAATTGTCTTATCGCGGCCAACATGGCCGCCTAAACCTCCAGCATGCAACTCTCGAATCAAATATTCTCGCAAAGAAGACCGAGGAATGCAGAGTTGTGTCCCTTTAAACAAAAATCCATCTTGTATTAGGAAATCAGTAACAAATTCCTTGTTGCTACATCTTGCCTATATACCCCCAAAGTCTTCATCACCAGCATAAATAGTCTTTAAAGAATCAAAGTCCACCACCTCTGTACTAATGGTAGCTAGTAAAGAGGCGCGTCGACTTAAGGCGTTCGCTAATTATAGAAATTGTTGTGTGTGTAAGATTCGTAGTATTATTTTCCTTTGATATATATATATATGTATGTGTATATATATATTTACATATATATATATATTTATATTTACTCTTTTTTCCATTGGAGGATTGCGAAAATTCTCAAATCTAACGGAGTTTTGAGAAAATTGCTAGTAACTGAATTCGGCTATGAGAATGGAAGATTTAGGTGTAAGATAGCTGGGTTTGCTTTGGAAGCATCGACTGGGATCAGAAGTCTTTATTATAGGGCTATAGATATCTAGTTCTAAGAAATAGAGGAAATGTTCGGCCTTGTTTATTTGATGACTCAAATCAGTATTTTTTATCGTAAAAATTCAAATTTAATTTTTTACTATAATGTTTTTTTCTCACATAATCGACTTGAGTTGTGCAAATAAACATATCATTGTGTTCCCAGTTTCCAAAGGGTTTTATCTTTTTAAAAGGGATTCAAATTTACAAAGTGCTTGTTTGTTAATTTACATAGTTGTCATGGAGGCACCTTGATCCTGTTTATAACATTTGCTGATATAGTCAGCTTGCAAATAATTAATTGATTATGTAAAATATAAAAAAATTAATCGACAATAATCGTGGAAGCTTATAAGTTAGTAGGATGTCATTTCAAGGCATGGCTCATTCTGCCTGGAGGATTAGGCTGCAATATGTTGCATATTTAACAACCTATGTCACTTTGCAAATGCAATTGATGTGAATTTTGATATTTTGCAAGGTAAGGACCTCATAATGGAAGTACATATAAGATGGAAATTCATGAATGTCCTATTGGACCTCTATTTATGGTTGCTAGCCCCTAGCCAGCTCTTATTGCTTTTGGTTTAATGATAATAAGTTCCTATTATGACACGATTCATGGAATTGAATATTCATTTCCACAGATTTTTACTGCCGATTGACATTCATCTTCTGGGCAAAGTCCAGATATTGCATAGGGGAAATTCCAAAAGAAATATTGTCCCTGTGTGAAGATTTGGTATGGAAAGAGATTTTCGTGCGAAATAGATTGTGTGGAGGTAATTTCTATGCAACTTGACTTGTTATGAAAGCTGAATGCACCGGCTACAGATTCTTGAAGGGTTGTTGTTGTTGTTGTTGTTCGTCACAATGCTTCACCTTTTGGAACTTGTGAGTGATCTATAGACTATTCTAAACGTTTTTCTTGGCTTTGCTTATTGAACTTTTATAATTTGGATTCCTGGCTTTGCCCAATCAATTAGTATGCACGACGCTTTTTTAAGACCTCATAACGGGGGCTATTTAACCAATTGGTGTGGTTAACTTCACACAAGATATTTTTAACGTTTTTATTAGTGAAAGCAGAATATTTGCATTTTGTCTCCCCTGATTTCTGATCAGTTGCTCAAATATGTACAAATCGTGCTCATTCAACATCTACGTCCTTAATTTTTAAAATAATTTTTTCATTGTATTTGTAGTCTTTCAGTTTTAAAAATTCCTTTGTTCAGAGGCTTCTACGAGAAATTGTAGCAAATATTAGTGGAACCTTAGAACAAAATCTATCATCCTCAGCTTCTGCAAAGAGGATGCTAAAGCATAGTAGAACAAAATCTATCATCCACTCAGATGCGAATAAGCATCCTGATTCACTGCCCTTGGACAGATCACAGATTACAGGAAATAGAACTAGGAGAAGCAAAATCATGAATACAAAGTCGTCCAACAATGCTGACCTCAAAAGATCAAGGTCTCAAGCACTGGCTGATGTTCTGAAGCTTCAAACACAATTGAAGAGAACCAAAGAATCAATGGTACTGGGAGCCTTGCCTTCTTTTAAAGCACAGTGTGATGATTGTTGTTAGGTATTTTTAATAGTTGACAATTTATTGATAATATTGTAAAAATTCAAAAAACAGGTTCAAGAAGATTTCATATTACAGAAGAAGATTTGGAGAGATAAGGATAATGCCTTGATCAAAGGAAGATAATGCATTGGTTATTTGAATTTAAATGGAATTCTAGAAAGAGATAAGGATAAAAAAGATTATGTGGAGAATTTGAACTGGTAATTATCTGGATTTAAGAAGGCTACAAACATGGAAGAGAAGGAGATATGGTTTTGATATTTACAGCTTATCCAACTCGTGGGAATTAAAGTTGCATTAATTCGGATTTGTTGAATTTGCTATACAATCCGAATTCAAAATTGAAAACCTGTTTGAGTGAAAGTCTGGTAAACTTTGATATATATATATATTTGTGTATGGTTGTGTTTCATGGGCATTAACGTGAAGCTGGCTAAGAGGAGATTATATGTTGTATGTTGAAATCCGTTTTGAAATTCAAAGTAAACATATTAATGCTGAAAAGGTGAAGCGAGGAGATAACATGAAGATTTTGTGCAGATTCTTTAAGGAGATATTGTGAGTTG